AAGCGGCTTTTTTTTTCTGGCTGCTACTGGACGCCTGAATTTCTCATACGGGGATCAATAAAGTATCTATCTATCTATCTTTGTGAAGCGTCTTTGAGTGTCCAACATATAATATATAAAAGCGCTATGTACTGTATATGCGCTGATGCATTATTATTATTATTATTATTATTATTATTATCATCATGATCTGACTATGCTAAACCGTGGCTGGGCAGATACAAGGAGTTCCTGTCTGTCCTGGTAGAGGCCCCGAGGACACAGACAGAACATGCAAAGTGGAGTCCTGTGGCCTTTAGCCGTAGATGCCGCTCTGCAATGGATGAAAGTGTTTAGTCCCGGCCCGGTCCTCCTGCCCTCTCTCTGGCCTCTCTCTGGTCTCAATCTCTGGCCTCTCTCTGGTCTCTCTCTGGTCTCTCTGGTCTCTCTCTCTGGCCTCTCTCTGGTCTCTCTCTGGTCTCAATCTCTGGCCTCTCTCTGGTCTCTCTCTAGTCTCTCTGGTCTCTCTCTGGACTCTCTTTGGTATTTCTTTGGTCTCTCTCTCTGCCTCTCTCTTGTCTCTCTCTAGTCTCTCTCTGGTCTCAATCTCTGGCCTCTCTCTGGTCTCTCTCTGGTCTCTCTCTGGTCTCTCTCTAGTCTCTCTCTAGTCTCTCTCTGGTCCCTTCTGACTGAAGATGCTACTTCACATTCTTGAAAAGGATAGTTTTTTCAGTGTATAGATCAGTGGGTGCAGAAAGGCAACGCAAGTTTATTCGTATAACACAGTTTAACAAAACAAGATAGAAATAATACAGGACATTAAAATCTAAAATAGGGACATGTGAAAACCAAAACATACATGACCCGAAACACAAAGTACTTTCCATTGATTTGATACTGGTGTCTGCAGTTGGAGTGATGTTTTGACTTGTCGTTTGTCACTCAAGTATGATGAGGCTGGTTGCCGCGGTAACGCCAACCGTCGGCTCATCTGTGCCGAGGGTGTGAAAGCCACTTCAGCGAGGCTCTCTCTAACAGCTGTAAATATTTCAGCTCAGACAGAAATAAAGCTTAGCAGAGTTTCTCCACGTTTAACAAACAGGACACTGACATGAGAAGAGGTTTCAGATTCAGTGTATTTGCCGTTTACAGTAAAACCCCATTGGAATACATGTGCGAGAGTCCCCAGTGTGGTCTCTCTCTTGTCTCTCTCTGGTCTCTCTCTCTCTGATCTCTCTCTGGTCTCTCTCTGATCTCTCTCTGATCTCTCTCTGGTCTCTCTCTGATCTCTCTCTGGTCTCGCTCTTGTCTCTCTCTGGTCTCTCTCTCTCTGATCTCTCTCTGGTCTCTCTCTGGTCTCGCTCTTGTCTCTCTCTGGTCTCTCTCTCTCTGATCTCTCTCTGGTCTCTCTCTGATCTCTCTCTGGTCTCTCTCTGATCTCTCTCTGGTCTCTCTCTGGTCTCTCTCTGATCTCTCTCTGGTCTCTCTCTGGTCTCGCTCTTGTCTCTCTCTGGTCTCTCTCTCTCTGATCTCTCTCTGGTCTCTCTCTGGTCTCGCTCTTGTCTCTCTCTGATCTCTCTCTGGTCTCTCTTTGATCTCTCTCTGGTCTCTCTCTGGTCTCGCTCTTGTCTCTCTCTGGTCTCTCTCTCTCTGATCTCTCTCTGGTCTCTCTCTGATCTCTCTCTGGTCTCTCTCTTGTCTCTCTCTGGTCTCTCTCTCTGGTCTCTCTCTGGTCTCTCTCTGATCTCTCTCTGGTCTCTCTCTGGTCTCGCTCTTGTCTCTCTCTGGTCTCTCTCTCTCTGATCTCTCTCTGGTCTCTCTCTGGTCTCGCTCTTGTCTCTCTCTGATCTCTCTCTGGTCTCTCTCTGATCTCTCTCTGGTCTCTCTCTGATCTCTCTCTGGTCTCTCTCTGGTCTCGCTCTTGTCTCTCTCTGGTCTCTCTCTCTCTGATCTCTCTCTGGTCTCTCTCTGATCTCTCTCTGGTCTCTCTCTTGTCTCTCTCTGGTCTCTCTCTCTGGTCTCTCTCTGGTCTCTCTCTCTGGTCTCTCTCTGATCTCTCTCTGGTCTCTCTCTGGTCTCTCTCTCTCTCTTGTCTCTTTCTCGTCTCTCTCTGGTCTCTCTCTGGTCTCTCTCTGATCTCTCTCTGGTCTCTCTCTCTCTTGTCTCTTTCTCGTCTCTCTCTTGCCTCTCTCTGGTCTCTCTCTGGTCTCTCTCTCTGGTCTCTCTCTTGCCTCTCTCTGGTCTCTCCCTGGTCTCTCTCTTGCCTCTCTCTGGTCTCTCCCTGGTTTCTCTCTGGTCTCTCTCTGGTCTCTCTCTGGTCTCTCTCTGGTCTCTCTCCAGTCTCTCTCTTGCCTCTCTCTGGTCTCTCTCTGGTCTCTCACATTCTTGAAAAGGTACATTGGTGCTAATCTAAATGAAGGCTGCTGTATAGCTGTGAACAGTCTCGCACCACATCCTCGGGAGTACATCAGGAGACGGCGGAGAGGAGCTTTAGCAGCGGCCGGGAAACTTCAAATGGGAATCTTAAAATATCTCCGAGCTCAGGGCGAGAGTTGGAGGTGAGAGCAGTTTGTTGTGTATCTTAGCCACATCTCTCCGCCTCCTTCCCACGCGCCTCACAAAGCTTCAAAACCAAAATCTGCTGCGGCACAGACAGACGTTTAATCATTCTCAGAGCTACTGTAGGCATTTCCTCAAGCTATTTATGATGATATAACGATGCCACAGAACTAAACATACAGAATGAAGAACTTGTTTATCTGCCAACCAGGTGCAGTTATGTATTCATGTCGTTTTGTTGATGAATGACTTTGACCCAGCGCCCTGGCCTTTGTTGGTTCTAAAAACGACAGACGAGGACAAATACAAATCTCGTTGATGTTAAACAGTTTTCTGCATAATATTCAGCACTTTCAGATTGAAGATGTGAGTTTTGAGAAAACAAATGACCCAAATATTGTTTTCTCTTGGTTCAAAAAGGTTGTTTTGTCTGTGTTATGTGGAGATGACCTTCCTCCTCCAGAGACGATCGGGCGAGAGGCGGCATGGTCAACATCAGCTGATAAATGATAAATGAGAGAGAGACCAGAGAGAGACCAGAGAGAGACCAGAGAGAGACCAGAGAGAGACCAGAGAGAGACTAGAGAGAGACCAGAGAGAGAACAGAGAGAGACCAAAGAGAGGCCAGAGAGAGACCAGAGAGAGACCAGAGAGAGACTAGAGAGAGACCAGAGAGACCAGAGAGAGACCAGAGAGAGAGACCAGAGAGAGACCAGAGAGAGAGACCAGAGAGAGAACAGAGAGAGACCAAAGAGAGGCCAGAGAGAGAACAGAGAGAGGCCAGAGAGAGAACAGAGAGAGACCAGAGAGAGACCAAAGAGAGGCCAGAGAGAGACCAGAGAGAGACCAGAGAGAGACCAGAGAGAGACCAGAGAGAGACCAGAGAGAGACCAGAGAGAGACCAGAGAGAGACCAGAGAGAGACCAGAGAGAGAGACCAGAGAGAGAGACAAGAGAGAGACCAGAGAGAGACCAGAGAGAGACCAGAGAGAGACCAGAGAGAGAGACAAGAGAGAGACCAGAGAGAGGCCAGAGAGAGAACAGAGAGAGACCAGAGAGAGACCAGAGAGAGACTAGAGAGAGACCAGAGAGAGACCAGAGAGAGACCAGAGAGAGACCAGAGAGAGAGACCAGAGAGAGAACAGAGAGAGACCAAAGAGAGGCCAGAGAGACCAGAGAGAGACCAAAGAGAGGCCAGAGAGAGACCAGAGAGAGACCAGAGAGAGACCAGAGAGAGACTAGAGAGAGACCAGAGAGACCAGAGAGAGACCAGAGAGAGACCAGAGAGAGGCCAGAGAGGGACCAGAGAGAGAGACAAGAGAGAGACCAGAGAGAGACCAGAGAGAGGCCAGAGAGAGAGACAAGAGAGAGACCAGAGAGAGAGACAAGAGAGAGACCAGAGAGAGACCAGAGAGAGGCCAGAGAGAGACCAGAGAGAGACCAGAGAGAGACTAGAGAGAGACCAGAGAGAGACCAGAGAGAGAGACCAGAGAGAGAGACCAGAGAGAGACCAGAGAGAGAGGCCAGAGAGAGGCCAGAGAGAGGCCAGAGAGAGACCAGAGAGAGACCAGAGAGAGACCAGAGAGAGACCAGAGAGAGGCCAGAGAGAGACCAGAGAGAGACCAGAGAGAGGCTAGAGAGAGACCAGAGAGAGACCAGAGAGAGACCAGAGAGAGACCAAAGAGAGACCAAAGAGAGACCAGAGAGAGACCAGAGAGAGACTAGAGAGAGACCAGAGAGAGAGACCAGAGAGAGACCAGAGAGAGAGACCAGAGAGAGACCAGAGAGAGACCAGAGAGAGAGACCAGAGAGAGCCCAGAGAGCCAAAACATGTTAGCGAGGTGGTCTGGTGTTATCCATCTGTAAACTCCGGTCCATTATCAATTCCTATACTCCCTACATTTGTACTTTGCAAAAAGAAGAAGGTCCTGGGTTTGAATCCCGGCCGGACCAGGGCCTTTCTGAGTGGAGTTTGCATGTTCTCCCTGTGTCTGCGTAGGTTTCCTCCGGGTACTCCGGTTTCCCCTACCACTAAAAATATGTCCAATAGTTCTGGCATGTGCCTCCTGTACTGGCCCCGCTCCCATCTCTGTGTGGAGTGAGAGACAAATGCCCAAAAAATAACAATTGTAAACCGCTTTGTGACTCTGGTCTGTGAAAGGCGGTATATAAATAAAGCTTACTTACTACTTACTTACTTACAAAAAGCAATTTTGTGAATTTTTGGTCACAATTATTATGATCATGATCAGCTTTTTCCCAGTTGAATCAGAAGCGGTGGTTCATAATTACCACCTTCACTCATGCGTGTGTTGTGAGTGTGTTTAAGCATCATGTTCTAAATATACTCTTTGTCAATATTTGTATATGTATTTTATTCTTTTTTTTTGCAGTTGACCAACTTATCGAGTTGAATGTCTTGCATGTGTTTGAACAGATGCTCAAATAAATGGTTGGTGGCGGTCATTGGCTCACACTGGACTTCTTCTTCTCCTCCTCCTCCTCCTCCTCCTCCTCCTCCTCCTCCTCCTCCTCCTCCTCCTCCTTCTCCTTCTCCTCCTCCTCCTCCTCCTCCTTCTCCTCCTCCTCCTCCTTCTCCTTCTCCTCCTCCTCCTTCTCCTCCTCCTTCTCCTCCTCCTCCTCCTCCTCCTCCTCCTTCTCCTCCTCCTCCTCCTCCTCCTCCTTCTCCTCCTCCTCCTCCTTCTCCTCCTCCTCCTCCTTCTCCTCCTCCTCCTCCTCCTCCTTCTCCTCCTCCTCCTTCTCCTCCTCCTCCTCCTTCTCCTCCTCCTCCTCCTCCTCCTTCTCCTTCTCCTCCTCCTCCTCCTCCTCCTCCTCCTCCTTCTCCTCCTCCTTCTCCTCCTCCTTCTCCTCCTCCTCCTCCTCCTCCTTCTCCTCCTCCTCCTCCTCCTCCTCCTCCTCCTGGACGACAGTGGACCTAATGTTTTGGTTCGATCCCCCAACGACCCATGTCTCCTGCTCCCACTGAAGTCTGCTGTCGTTGTGTCCCTGGGCAAGACACTTAACCCCACTCTGCCTGAAGCGCTTAAGGCCGTATCTGCGTCGAAAGAGCAGCCATCTTCCTCTGGACCCACCATTGCCACCCCCCAGACCCAGAAATGGATAATAAAGGGACAAAAATGAAATGATTATTATTCTTGTTATATTTGAGGTGAGCAAGGCCAGTTTTACCAGCGCGGTGTTAAACCAGGCCTGTTGTGTTAACATTTGGTGCTTCTGTTTCCCTCCTGTCTTTGGACCCAGAGCTGATCAGCACCGGCTGCACGCACAGATCCAGGAACAAATCGCTCTCGAGCATCGCGGAAAAGCACGGCTCTGCAAAACAAGCCACCCAGGTAGAATGTAACCTCTGTGTGAAAGGGCTGTGGAGGTTTGGGACACGCTGCTCTGAGCCGTGAGCTACTTCCACCGCAGAGAAACAAACAATTGTGAATCTGAAAACATTCATTATTCACTACTGATATTTTTTTATCAATACATATTAATCAAGGAAAAAATAATTGGGTATGCGTTCAGCAAATTGACAGCCCTAATCGGCCCATAAGATAAATGCTGCACACATATATGAATCTAGCCTGGTCTTACCACACCATTGTACTCATTTCATTTCATACTAAGGTCTGGATTGACTCCGTTAACAGGTGGGAGGGGCTAACTCCTTTTACAGATTGAAATGATTGGATCTGAGTTTACTGTGACGTATGTAATGAGCCCGAGTGATTGAGGCATTTAGCATTTAGCCTAGCTTTAGCATTTAGCCTAGCTTTAGCCATCTCCTTTGTCACTAACGGAGCCCGTGGGGAGTAGAGCCACAATATCTTTGCCTCAATGACATTTACTAAACATTCCTCTTGCTCCGGCTTCAGTTTCTTGATATTTGGATTGAACCAGAACAGATTATTTTACTATCGCATTCTCCATGGACCAGAGTTTACACATGGTAAGACCAGACGTACATGTAGGAGATGATCATGGACCAGAGTTTAGGCTAGTATGAATCTAAAATACATTAAACCTCTGCGTCAGTAAACAACAGGACATACGGTACGTTTGCAAAGCTGCCACTGGAGGGACCTCACTCACTGTAAGTCAATAACTCTACCATATCATTTTGCACTCTGCCGTTGAGACGCTAAACTCAGCATCTTGTATATTTTACGTTTGCCAATCTGGTGGCAGAAATGGCGGGTTATTTCCTCGTCTCCAGACTGCTTGAATTACCTCAAGTCTCCATTGGACAAAACACTTTTCTATAATGAAGAAAATTGTGCACCTTGCTTATCCAGTCGCTCTCCCAAGTTGCCTGACTGCAGTGGGAGGTGGGCCGCTTCTGTGCACCCTTCCAAATGGCTTAAGAAGTGGCTCTATTATAGATCTATATGTCAATGCAGCCCAGGTGCAGCCTTTGACAAACACAAATTGGCAAGCCATTTGGTGGGCTCCGTTTCCCTCATTACATATGTATTTATTTCAGAAGCTCCTCTTTTCATGCTGTCTGCTCCTGTCAGAGGCTGTGCATTGGGGTACATCAATAACAGGAACATTTCTGACTGCTGCTGATAGCAATACAGCCAACCAAAGTCAGACTGACACGGACCGGGATAAATGTATGAGGAAGAAACCAGGTAAGAGCCATTCTGTGGAGCAGACATGCTTTCAATTCATTGTATATATTGGAATGAATTCTGTTTTTGGCATTTCATGTTTTAGCTCTGGAGTCCGCTGATTTATATGTAATCCTTATACAATTTGTGAATGTACTATGTGGACAAGTGTGGGTCTGTACACATGAGTATTTAAGTTTGAAAACAGATCATTCAGACACAAGGACAGGCTTGTGCCAAAAGTTCCTGATGTGGATGGAGCTGCAAACAACTCCTTAGTAAAAGAAAAAGAAAGTTAGGGGCAGAAATAAAAATAAAACAGATTGATAGGGCATATTTACTGTAACTTATCAGTTCAAAGTACCTCTGTACAAGAAGGGCCAAAGTGGATGAGGTCCTTCAGAGGAGGCTGAGGTCCTTCAGAGGAGGCTGATGTCCTTCAGAGGAGGCTGAGGTCCTTCAGAGGAGGCTGAGGTCCTTCTGAGGAGGCTGAGGTCCTTCAGAAGAGGCTGATGTCCTTCTGAGGAGGCTGAGGTCCTTCAGAGGAGGCTGAGGTCCTTCTGAGGAGGCTGAGGTCCTTTGGAGGAGGCTGAGGTCCTTTGGAGGAGGCTGAGGTCCTTCAGAGGAGGCTGAGGTCCTTCAGAGGAGGCTGAGGTCCTTTGGAGGAGGCTGAGGTCCTTCAGAAGAGGCTGAGGTCCTTTGGAGGAGGCTGAGGTCCTTCAGAAGAGGCTGATGTCCTTTGGAGGAGGCTGAGGTCCTTCAGAGGAGGCTGATGTCCTTTGGAGGAGGCTGAGGTCCTTCAGAGGAGGCTGAGGTCCTTTGGAGGAGGCTGAGGTCCTTCAGAGGAGGCTGAGGTCCTTCAGAGGAGGCTGAGGTCCTTCAGAGGAGGCTGAGGTCCTTTGGAGGAGGCTGAGGTCCTTCAGAAGAGGCTGATGTCCTTTGGAGGAGGCTGAGGTCCTTCAGAGGAGGCTGATGTCCTTTGGAGGAGGCTGAGGTCCTTCAGAGGAGGCTGATGTCCTTTGGAGGAGGCTGAGGTCCTTCTGAGTGAGCCTCTGCTCAGGGCCTCTTATGACTCTGTAGCCTCTGCCATACACTAAGCTGCCGTGTGCTGGGCTTCTGGCAGCACAGAGGAAGCACAAGGAAAAATATTAAGCATAATACTGGATAAACATTATGAGACAAACTAAAATAATAATAAGCGGGGGGAGCTCTGGAAAAAATCACGAGTTGGAAGGACTTGAATTGAGGTTGAGGTACTAGATCTAGAGGTGGGCTATCATCACACACTGCAAAAAGTGATGAAAAGCAGGTCAAAAATTGTTAAAAATTTGCAAAATGTTTTTTAATTAATGTAAGTCAATTCTGACTGATTTAAAACAAGATTCACCAATGGGACAAAGCTAAATGATCTTGTTTTTAAAAGATTAAAGAAATGTCTCCCTTTGTAGATGAATGAACACCCAGCCACAAGCATATACGTTCATAACACCCGACTCAGGTGTTCTGGATAGAATAATAGCACACAGAATGATCGATAATGTGACCGCAGATCCAACAAGAAGCTTTTGGTGTGTTTTCTCCACTTTAATGAATAGAGCAGACACTGAACTGGATGAACAACTTAATTTGATAAAAATGTGACCTCTCGTCGCGGCAGACGTCTCCTCGGAGCTGATCAGAATGTCAGCTGCTATTTTCTTCCTGGCTGTGTTCAAAGTGCTTTCTCCGGCTCACCCCTCACCTCTTCTGAAGCTCCAGCCAATTAGGATGGAAAACAATGTTAATATTTTATAGTTCATTCCCCGAGAGGAATCCTAACTGTGTCTGAGCGCAAGATATGCTGCTGCCTTTATATGTCCGTGTGCTTTGGCCGTACAGGACGCCATGCAGGACGCCATCCAGGACGCCATCCAGGACGCCCCAGGACGCCATGCAGGACGCCATCCAGGACGCCATCCAGGACGCCATGCAGGACGCCATCCAGGACGCCTTCCAGGACGCCATGCAGGACGCCATGCAGGACGCCATGCAGGACGCCATCCAGGACGCCATCCAGGACGCCCCAGGACGCCATGCAGGACGCCATCCAGGACGCCATCCAGGACGCCATGCAGGACGCCATCCAGGACGCCTTCCAGGACGCCATGCAGGACGCCATGCAGGACGCCATGCAGGACGCCATCCAGGACGCCATCCAGGACGCCATGCAGGACGCCATCCAGGACGCCTTCCAGGACGCCATGCAGGACGCCATGCAGGACGCCATGCAGGACGCCATCCAGGACGCCATGCAGGACGCCATCCAGGACGCCATGCAGGACGCCATCCAGGACGCCATGCAGGACGCCATGCAGGACGCCATCCAGGACGCCATGCAGGACGCCATCCAGGACGCCATCCAGGACGCCATGCAGGACGCCATGCAGGACGCCATGCAGGACGCCATGCAGGACGCCATGCAGGACGCCATCCAGGACGCCATGCAGGACGCCATCCAGGACGCCATGCAGGACGCCATCCAGGACGCCATGCAGGACGCCATCCAGGACGCCATCCAGGACGCCATCCAGGACGCCATGCAGGACGCCATGCAGGACGCCATCCAGGACGCCATGCAGGACGCCATCCAGGACGCCATGCAGGACGCCATGCAGGACGCCATCCAGGACGCCATGCAGGCACCGTGACCGTGGACATGAGTGATGAACATAAAATACATATAGTGAAGGGTTCGTTTGAAATGGGGTGAAAAAAGATGGCTCAGTCAAGAAGACGTTGATTTTCACTGAAAAAACTAAAATCTTGGAAAGATTAATTTACTAAAAATAACATAAATGATGCTTATTTTTTAATGACAAGGTTTTGTTGCTTGAATGTAGTTTTTCATAAAACTATTTTACTAGGTTTACGATAACAATATTTGTGGACTCAGCACCTGCAGGAGGATCTGTGAGGGGCTGGTGCTCTGTGTACTGGGTACAGCTCTGACTGCCACCCCCCCAACCCAGAAATGGATTCAGGGGAAGAAAATGGATGGATGGATGGAATACTTCATAATCTTAGAGAAAAAAGTCTGAGCAGTGAGTTTATACGCTTTTTTAAACTTATTTTTCCTTATTTCCAGGAAACTTTTCTTTCTTAGGTAAAATAAGTCTGTAACTAACCTGGACCAAGAGCCACTTTTGGACCATCCTGTAAAGACGTTTTCGAAAGGAAAGAAGGCGCCATACAAAAGCATTGGGTAATTCTCTTTCCGGGTACACCCCCACCACCGGCAAGGAGTGAGATTGCAGCATGTCAGCGCATGCTCATGGACCCTTTGGAGCCGGGACCCGCCCTCTCTGGTTTTTATTGATTCTCTGATCTGTGTCGGCAAATTCAAAGGTTTTGTAAAGTCCTCTGAGAAACTACTGTTGTGATTGAGGGTGATACAAAAATACATTGAATTGATTTGAATCACACATTCACACACAAAACAATAACAATACCCAAGGCCCAAACACTCTCCGACCCTACACTCATCTCCCCTCACTCCCACTCATTCACACTGGCCCAAACACTCTCCGACCCTACACTCATCTCCCCTCACTCACACTCATTCACACTGGCCCAAACACTCTCCGACCCTACACTCATCTCCCCTCACTCACACTCATTCACACAGGCCCAAACACTCTCCGACCCTACACCCATCTCCCCTCACTCCCAGTCATTCACACTGGCCCAAACACTCTCCGACCCTACACCCATCTCCCCTCACTCACTTTGTCCTTTGGGTATAACTCTCTTTTGTCCACGTACTTCTCTTCTAAACAGATTTTTTTTATTGTAATCAAGTCTTACGTTGGATCGTTGCAGATGTTAACTCACGGACTGCAATAATGTGCGTTTTAATCCGTGTTTAAAACAATTTTTCGGAGAGGAATTAGGAGCTTTGACCGTGAAATAGTCACTGAGATCATTCTGTAACAATTTACAGCGACTGAATATTACTAATGTAAAATAAAAACAGTGAGGAATAAGATCACATTTAATAAATAAACATTGTCAAGCAGGATTTATTTGTTCTCTGGGCTTTTCCATACACCATACCCGCCCAGCAGAGTATCTGTTATCATCTGTTATTATCTGTGCCTTCAGGCTAACGATATGTCCTCACCTAAAAAGCTATTTTCTTCATGCAAATATCCTCAGATTGGACCAGACAAACGAGCTTTTCACAAAGGCCTCTGGTACAGCCTCTAAAACCACTGTCTCTCTGTCCTGCATCAGTCTGTCTGTTCAAACCAGTGCCGGTGGGGGTGTACCCGGAAAGAGAATCACCCAATGCTTTTGTATGCCGTCTTCTTTCCTCTCGAAAAGGTCCTTACAGGATGGGCCAAAAGTGGTTCTTGGTCCAAAAGTGGCTCTCGGTCCAAATGTGGCTCTTGGTCCAAAAGTGGCTCTCGGTCCAAAAGTGGTTCTTGGTCCAAATGTGTCTCTTGGTCCAAAAGTGGTTCTTGGTCCAAATGTGTCTCTTGGTCCAAAAGTGGTTCTTGGTCCAAAAGTGGCTCTTGGTCCAAAAGTGTCTCTTGGTCCAAAAGTGGTTCTTGGTCCAAAAGTGGCTCTTGGTCCAAAAATGGCTCTTGGTCCAAAAGTGGCTCTTGGTCCAAAAGTGGCTCTTGGTCCAAAAGTGGCTCTTGGTCCAAAAGTGGCTCTTGGCCCAAAGCAACTTTCCAAATGTATTGATGTTGAGGGGAATATATATTTTTTGGACCAGTCTAGTCACACTTATAAATGAATAGGGCTAGTGCAGCTAACACGTGCACAAATGTGTTTTTCCACATTATCCTGCCCCGCGGCCATTTTGAAAAGCCCCATAGACGGCAGAAGTGGTTGCACGTTAGTGTGAACGGTAGAGAAAAGGGTGACTACGTTTGTTAATATTTACAGTCTATGGTAAAAATCAGTTCTGGGCAGGTCCTGGCTCCAAAATGTCCATAAGCACGTGCACTGACCTGCTGCAATCTCACTACCCTCCAGTGGGGGTGTACCCGGGAAAGAGAATTACCCAATGCTCTTGTATGGCATCTTCTTTCCTCTTGAAAACGTCTTTACAGGATGGTCCAAAAGTGGCTCTTGGTTCCAGATGCTGTCCATGTTGAGGGGAGTATACTTTTTTGGACCAGTCTAGTTTAGCCGCTGTGGACTTTTGACTGCCCTCGTTAAATGAATGGGGCTAGTGCAGCTAACACATGCACTGCCCCGCCGCCATTTTGAAAAAGCAACAGAAGGAAAAAGTGGTGGCACATCAGTTTCACCAGTGCAGAAAAGCGTGACTATGTCTGTTATTATTTACAGTCTATGATTCATGGGCTCCTTCCTACACTCAATTGTCAAATATGCGACAAACACCGGGGCACGGAGCCGTTTACTCTTCACAAAGCTGCAAATTAAACAATAGCAAACGCACAGTGAGAGATGCTAAATGTAATCGGGCGAGTGGAAATGAAATTATGTCCTCCCAGGTTCCAATATCGCTGTAGCTCACTGCTGCTTTGTCATGAAAGGCTGTGCGGAGACATTTATTCAACAAGTCTGAGGCACTGCTGCAGTATTTAACAGAGTGATGCAAGGACATGTTGGAGATGCATTATCAAGATGAGATACTACAAATAAATACTTAATAATAATGTATAATATCTGTAAACTTATCCAGATGGGTTTGGTTCATTTCTTGTCAATATCCGAGTTACAGAAGCATACAAAATGACAATAGGTATTTTGAGTTATTTAATGTGAACTATCTCTTAAGGCATTTCAACACCATTTCAATCTGGAAAGACACAAGACAAAGTTTACATTAGAATTATAAGTATTTGTATGTTTGCATGAATACTGTTTATTGTAGCTGCATGATTGGACAAGCAGACCCAGCAGATGCATGATGTACAACTACATGTATTGCTTTTGAACAATTCTATGGCCTTGGAAGCTTCTGATATGTCCTAATATCTGACAACATTTACATAATTCACTGTATAAGTATTTTGAGGCTACATCTCAAAACACATCGCTTTCTTGTTGGATGTGAGAAAATCTAAATACATCAGAGACTTGTTGATGTCCTGAAGTCTGGTACAGCTTTGATGCAATTTCCAAATGCTAAAAGATGTTCAACTTTTCAAACAGTTTTACATAAATATAAACATAAACTAAGCACATGTCCTGACATCATGGAGAGAAACTGCTGCTGTGTCCCAGAGAGAAGATGTTTGGGTCTGAAATGTGGCATAACTCGGACTCAGCAGGAGCCACACTCAGCATGACCTTTAGACGATTAGATGCTTTTTCAATCCAAAGACGTGACACGGTTTCTTAATGGCCATGAGTGACAGGTGGATTAACCAATCAGGGATAAACATATTAGGTCTGCATCCTGTAAAAGTAGTTTGCGGTAGCTCCAGGTGAGAGGACCTGGATCCTCCAGAGTCTGATGAATGGGGACAGCAGTGGTTTGTGATATCCAGATATTCTGTCCACTCTGTAGAATCTGCAGCAGCAGACCCTCTGAGTCTGCGGGCTGCAGGGGTGATGGATGTTCAGCACTTTTAGATGAGAAAGGAAGAATAAGCCGGAGATGAGGACAGATGAGAGGAGGAGAGGAGCACAAAGAGAAAGAAGGAGGAAGAGTGCTGAGGAAGCTCTTTTTACAACTATGTGAGAGTGTTGGTGTGTGACATGCAAAGCTGCCCTGCTCTCATGAAGAAAGCCTTTTAGATCCTTTGTGTTTAAAAATGAGACAAATGTCTGTAAAATGAATATGTATTTTAATACATATGTACATATACTTACATTGGAAGCCTTCGCTGGTCAATGATGCATCAGTCGCTCTTAACAATGTCTGATACAGTTGGAACAGTCTGACAGAGAAAGCCTTGGTGTGTTATGGGGCTTCATCTGCACAGTCATTATGCAGTGTAACATGTTCATGACAGAGAAAAACGTTACCCAGTTTTTTCTTTTTGGATTTCCTTACATGACTGCGTTACAATAAAAAGATACAAATACATAACAGTTGTGACATTACTTTCTGTGACTCCCGACACTGCAGTTCACACTTCAACTCAGGCCCAGGGGCCAATTGCGGCCTTCAGTGTCATCGTATGTGGCCCTCTGCCTTGCTAACCCACAGTAGTCTTTGAGATCATAAACACAAGCTCACAATGTCATCCATCCAACTTCAGCTCAGTCACTATAGACCTTGTTCTAAAGCACACACCGTACTGACGTGGTTTTTGATTGTGTCACTTCCGTTAATGATGCTAATGTAGCTAGTGAGATGGTAAACATGTGTCATTCAGCCAACTTCAGCTCCGTTATAGATCATCATAAAGCTCAGAACAGCCCGATGTCAGTCAACACAGTTTTTCAGTCCGTGATGTCGGTGAACTAAAGTGCCCTTTGAAGAAGATGACAAAGTCTGGGATCGTGTCTTTAATTCAGACAGAAGACATGTTTTATTATTCAATCAGCTATAGCCACAGTGCGAGTAGCTTGGCCTTCAGAAATCATATTGTGGAAAAGTACTGGCTTGTGCATATTGTTCAATGATGAGTTAGAACTTTAACCACAGTTGCTTCAAAGTGTCATGAAATCTCTAAACCCTCTTACTAAAATGTCCGGACACCCCTGACTTAGAATATAC